GGGAGTCAATGGTTTGAGAATCAATATTGACAAACCAAAGTCACCAAAGTTCAAAGCGAAGAGAATGAGAGAGCTAAAATAAGTGTATAAATTAATTTTAGATCATCACTTTTATCAATTTAAATAATTATTTATTTATTTCTCAAGCAAAGTGTTTGTAACTAACAAGAATTAAGATTCATAACGTTACCAAATCGAAAACCGAGCTTTATTTATTTTTGAATTATAAATTCAGGACTGTCTTTTTTTTTTTTTTCTCTTTTAATTTTAATGAAGTGAAATTCCTGTTGCACACTCTCTTCCCAGGGGTCTCCTACTCTAGTTGACTGGTATCATCATCAATCATCAATCATCATTGCTAAATTCGTTATTCTTCTTCTTCTTCTTTCTCTGCACCTCCATTCCTCTTCCCTTTCATTCACATTGCTTCCTTCTATGTAACCCCACTTCCATGAAAGCACCCCCTTTTTCTTCTAATCTCTTCGTTCCCTCATTCTTGCTCCAAATCCAAATCCAAATCCACCCAGCACCCACACATAATGAGGTTCACACTCATCAACTTGATGTGCCTTTTCCTTAACTAGTTATATAGGGTTATAGCCACTTCACAGTTCCTTTTTTCTTATTTCTCAAAGTGTGCAACAAGTGCAAGTCCTTTCCTTTTCCATTTGGGTGCCCTTCTTTTTCTTTTTTCTTTTTTGGGTGAAGAAAACAGAAAGGAAAGTTTGCCTTTTTAGCTGGGACTCGTTGCATTTTCAGCTCAAGAATCTAATCTTTCTGAACCCTACCCTCTTCTGGTTTTGATTTATTTAGATCTCCATCTCTCAGAAAAAATGGTAGCTTTTGTACCAATTTGAGGTTTGCAACTCTTGGGTTCTAGATTTTTTTGGGTAATGTTATTTATTATTTAATATAAATTTTGCTGCAACATTTAATGCTTCCCAGGCTTGCAAACTTGCAATATCATCAATTCTCAAATCTCAGCTTTTCAAGATTCTCCGTCCTTTTTGAGCCTGGAAAGTTAATGCATTTCTGAAAAAGAAAATATAAACTCTTCATATCTACTTGGGCCCCATTCCTTTCTATACTTCCTTTTATTATTACTAGGAATTAATTAATCTTTCTCTTTCTTTCTTTTTTTTAATAAATATTTATTTTTCTCCTTGCCCTTGTTTAGCACAGTAATGAAGAAAACTTTAAAGAAATGAGATGTCTCTAAACACTTCCCATGTTTCCAAGTTTCTTTGTCAAATTCATGCTGCTACCTCATCAATTTGTGGGAGCAGATAGAATAATTTTGGTAGTGCTCATGGTGGTGGTGGTTTCTGCTGTATTTCTGAGACTTTGACTATGCTTTGAGGTACCAAACTCTTGATATTTTTTTTCCTTCCCCTTTTGGATCTTTTTGAAATTTTTTCCTTATCCCCTTCAAATTTGTCTTCATTCTTTACCTAATATTGTTAGAAATTTTGTGTCTTTGAATTCCTTATCATTGCACCACTACCAGCAATTTTGGGTCCCAACAAAGTAAAAAAAGAAAAGAAGGCCTCTACCTTAGTTTGTCCCTTCATTGAGTTCAATATCTTTCACATGTAACTGTGACTTTTTTGGTACAGGATTCATTGTTATATATCTTTGATCCTCTGAGCATATATATAAATATATAGAAATGATTGAACAGGAGAAGTGTCTCCTTAGGTTACCATTTTTTCTTTGTGTCTTCATTGGTTTGTTGTTACATTCTGCTGTGGCTGCTGAGATTCCATTAGGTGCTAAACTCTCTGTTGCTGACAATAACAATTGGATTTCCTCCAATGGTGATTTTGCCTTCGGATTCTTTAAGATTTCGGATCAACCTAACCAATTTAGTGTTGGCATTCGGTTTGATTCGAAGTCAATACCTTATAGCCAGCAAATTGTGGTTTGGGCTGCTGGTGCTGAGGTCACAGTGGGGAACATGTCTTACTTTGAACTCACCCCGGATGGGGAATTCATTCTGTTTGATTCCTCACAAGGGATTCCGGCTTGGAGCAGTCAAACAAGAAATCAGTCTGTTGTTTCGGCTGCTCTTCGTGACGATGGTAATCTTGTTTTGATGGACAGAGAGCAGAAAACAGTTTGGGAAAGTTTTGACACTCCTACCGATACACTTCTCCCGGGCCAAAGTCTATCGGTTGGTCAATTACTTCGAGCAGCAAGCAAGAACTCTGAGTCAAGCTACTATAGTCTCCACATGAATGTTTTGGGTCATTTAGAATTACATTGGGAAAGTAGTGTTATCTACTGGACTAGTGAAAACCCTTCAAGCTCAAATCTTAGTGCTTTTCTTACAAAGAGTGGTGCTCTGGAACTTCGAGACCACAGTTTGAAACCGGTCTGGTCCGTGTTTGGAGAAGATCACAATGATTCTGTGAGCTATAGGTACCTTAGGCTTGATGTTGATGGAAATCTTCGCTTATATTCATGGGATGAAACTTTACAATCTTGGAAAGCAGTGTGGCAAGCTTTTAAGAATCAATGCAAGGTCTTTGCAACTTGCGGTCAACGGGGTGTTTGTGTATTGGATGCCTCGGGTTCTGCCTATTGCAGATGCCCGTTTCAGGTAGCCGGGCCTAACAAATGTTTGGTTCCATATGGAAATGAGTGTGAATCTGGCTCTGATATGGTAACATACAAGAACAGCTATCTATATGGAATCTATCCCCCTGATCAATCTGT